GCTCGGTAGCATACACGCTCGGAATGCCAGCTATAATGTAATTACGTTTCGCGACTGACCGTACGGTAAATCACCTCGAGTATACTGTCTATGAGTATTTCGTGTGTGAATGCAGACATTCTCCTGCTATGAGATACATGTATGTAAGGCCATCTGCTGATATTAGAGTTGATATGGAAACGCTAGCAACTTAGTTAGCACATTTAGCACTGGCTTAGCAGTCCGAAACATGTTTACACATTTAAACAGTCGTGGTAGATACCTTGTTTGATAAATACACAAATAACAATGCAAACTTACAGGTTGTGTATCCGAATCTTCCCCTGCTCCAAACAAACTAGGAATAGCATCGTCCTTCAGTTTCAAATGCTGTGCATATCCGGCCTCAAACTGGGCAATGTTTTGGAAGCTTTCGCCTGTGAAATGCCGCGCACACAGTAACGTTCTTCGAACCTCTGAAGGAACAGTGTTAAAAAGACATTTCAACCACTGACTTCGTCGTGGTTCTTCCGTCGGTAGGACAAACAGCTCAGATTTATCCTCACATTTCAGGAAACAGGTCCTTGGCATTGGCATGACTGGATCGATTGTGAACTGAACCAGAGCTTCCAACAGTAAATGTTAGGCTGGCAGAGGGTGCGGCCAGCGCCGCTGGGTGTGGCCATAGCTCTTCGGGATTGGTCCATTTCGTTCCGGGTACCGCATGACATCATGCCGTACCCGGAACTAAATGGAAGACTCAAATGGGCAGTGACGTATCTCCAACGAGGCGTTTTGGGGAGGTATTTTCTGTGTTAGAGTTTTACTCGCTACAGGGTGTACTTTGAGGGTTTTGACTCTGCACACCGTTTACATGCATAAAAACCTTCATAACACACAAGGGGACGGGTAATAACCGGAAAAGCATGACATGGGCCCTTTAAGATCATTAAATTGAATACATGTTATTTTAGTAAACAGTGAAAACGGGTCCCAGAGACCCAAACAGCACACAAAGGTTAAAGGTAAGCATTAATAATGTTAAAATGTGCTAAATATATACACTGCAAAAAACAAAAGATAGGAGTAAAAGTAGCCCCCGACTTGTTTTATTTTGTGAAAGTAGCCCTCATCCTAAAAAAGGTTGGTGACCCCTGGTCTAAAGTGTTATTAATGTGATAATAAAGTGCTACTGAAGAGTGTAAAGTGTTAATTAAGGGTAAAGGGAACAGACCTGCTCTGTGTAGCCGAAGCTGAGGCTGTAAAACAGCGTCCAGTAGTTTCTGGAGTCTCTTGTTCTCCTCTTTGGAAAGAGACAGCTCCTCCTCGTACTCTGCTATCGTTTTTTCAAACAGAGTAAATATCTCTTCAACAGTGAGTCGCTGCTTCTTCAACAACAGCAGCATTTGGACTTTACTCATGTTTACTAGATCACCTTTTCCTGCAAACTCCGTTAAACACACCGTTACTCTCTCCATCAAACGCTCAATCTGACTAGTGTTGCTAACGTGTTTCCAGCTAGCATGCTAAGCTATCTCCTATAGTCCGAGGTAAACGCTCCAGAAAAAAGAGCACACATTCCATTCAGAGGTTTATCCAAACACACAGACGATGGATCAGTAGTGCTGGAGCTCACACACACTTTCTCACAGAGAGAGAACCGGAGCGACGAGACGCCACCTCGATCCAGGTTCTTCTTCTTCTTCTTCTTCTTCTTCTTCTTCTTCTCTCGGTTTATGGCGGATTGCAAACAACTTTAAGGTGCATACCGCCACCTACTGTACAAGAGTGTGTATCACCATATCATCCTATCACCACTTGTGGAATTATACCATTGTGTTGTTTACGTTGTTTTAAATTCTTCCAATCAATCCTGTTTCCCTCAAATACTTAAAGCTCCCATGTCATGCTTTTCCGGTTATTACCCGTCCCCTTGTGTGTTATGAAGGTTTTTATGCATGTAAACGGTGTGCAGAGTCAAAACCCTGAAAGTACACCCTGTAGCGAGTAAAACTCTAACACAGAAAATACCTCCCCAAAACGCCTCGTTGGAGATACGTCACTGCCCATTTGATTCTTCCGGGTACCGCCTGATGTCATGCGGTACCCGGAACGAAATGGACCAATCCCGAAGAGCTATGGCCACACCAGCAGCGGCGTGTTCCTCCTCCAGAGGTTCGAAGAACCGGCATTTCACAGACGAAAGCTTCCAAAACATTGCCCAGTTTGAGGCCGGATATGCACAGCTTGTTTGGACCGTTTGGAGCAGGGGAAGATCCGGGTACACAACCTGTAAGTTTGCATTGTTATTTGTGTATTTATCAAACAAGACTGTTTAAATGTGTAAACTGTGTTGGACTGCTAAGCCATTGACACAGTGCTAACTGTGCTAACTAAGTTGCTAGAGTTTCCATATATCAACTCTGATTGATTGATTGATTGAAAAGTTTATGAACAGCTTGTATATTGGGTACAGTACAGTACAGCTCAAAACATACAATTGTTAAGGGGATGCAGACCAGAGAAAGACTTTCGTCTTGTTTACATCAGGGTCCCCCATTTCCAATTCATCATATCATTTAAGACATATAAGACATATTTGACATACAGATGGCTTATTTACAATTTACATACAGGTGGTTTTTTACATACAGATGGCTTATTTACAATTTTCATTTTAGATTTCGTTCTAATACATCCTAACCGGACATTTAAGACATACCAAGTCTACAGATATACAGTTAGTAACAGAGTCTAAAATGCGAGTATATACATAGATGGGGGGGGGAAGCTGTCCATTGTACGACAGGTTGAGATTTGTACCATTACCGGGGCCAGTTTTGCAATGCTTTCCCCCGAAGGTGCTCTTTAAGAGAGGTTTTGAAGGTAAGTATAGTTTTACTTTCCTCTAATATCAGCAGATGGCCTTGCATACATGTATCTCATAGCAGGAGAATGTCTGCATTCACATACAAAATACCTATTGACAGTATACTCCGGGTGATTTGCCGTGCGGTCAGTCGCGAAACGTAATTACATTATAGCTGGCGTAGCGTGTATGCAACCGATCTAACACGGAGCTAGAGCTAGAGCTAGAGCTAGCTTTGGTCGGAAAAACATTTTTGTGATGCGACGTTGCTAGCGTTTAAATATATATATATACTACAATGTCAGCAGATGGCCTTACATGTTTGTCATGGCAGGAGAATGTCTGCAGTCACACACACGGAATACTCATACAGTATACTCCGGGTGATTTACGTACATTGTGACAGGACATATACTGCATGTATAGCTACGAGGCTAGCTGTATGCTAGCGCAAAACAATGTATTCATGACCGTTACAATGTATGACCGAACGTAGCAGACTACCCGTATAACATTGCAATTATAAACACGTTATTGCTAGCCTAATATGAACCACTAGCTTTTGTTCATAGTAGTTTTATTACTCTACATTATAGTTGCCGTTCCTCCGAGCTAACGTTAGCTACCAAGGTAAACAAAGCTAGGTTAGCATATTAGCTGACAAGCTGTTCATTAGATTGATTAGATAGATCCACACTCGGAAGGCCACAACGGAAAGACAAGGAGACATACACGAGTTTACAAAACCACGGCACATTTATTGTGGTAAATGCAGAGATACGTGGTCAGGGAAGAGGATTGCTGTGCTGCTTGGAGGGAGAGAGGCTGCCGTGTGACTCCCGGCAGCTGGCTAGCACCTCGGCTCCGGCCAGGTGTCCGTGATCGCGCTGATTAGCCTCTTCAGCTCCACCCCATCGTAAGACAAAGGCCCTGGGGCCGTCACACTCTTCTATAACAACAGTTAAAAATATATATATGTATATAAAATATACGCCATGATAAGACTGATGTTCGGCTGAGAGCAGCCGTTTAGACATGGGCGCAGCCTCTCTGGTGGTTAACTAATCAGAACAGAGTGGCCGAGCTGACCAATCGGAGCACACTAGGCTCACAGGGAGGGGGGGGCAAGAGCTCCAACGAGTCGTTTAGTGGAGAAAGTGAATACTGCTGAATACACATGCTTGACAGAGATGCTGTATGCGAAACCAATGTGAGTTTGGAAAATTGCACAGTATAAATCTATTTTAGTATACCTCAACAATGTAATTATGATCAGTGGAAATGGCCATGACATGGGCCCTTTAAGAATGGCCTTCCTGGTAGCTCTTACCCCCTCACCTTCTGTTCCCAGTATCCCCATCAGGCTCCACTCCCTTCCTGCCTCTCTGACCCTGTCTCTTAGTTTTTCCCTCTCTGTTTTGTACATGTTGCAGTGTAATATGATGTGTTCCACATTTTCTTTCACCCCACACCCCCTGCATTCTTCAACTTTGCTTTTTCCCTTTAAAAACATTGTGCCGTTTAATCCTGTATGATCCAGTCTGAGTCTAGTGGTGATGATCTCCTCCCGTCTGTTCCTTTCTGTATATAGATCTTTATTATGACTGATTTTTGTAACTTGTGGTATCTCCTCACTTTCTGATCTTCCTCCCACCTTTTCTGTCATATTTCCATACCCTTCTTCTTAATTATTGCTTTTCCTTCTCCTTTTCCAAGTCAAACTGGTATTGCTACCCAATACCCAATACCCAGCATAACTGCACATCTATTCACCTCCTCTGAAGTCTCAGTAAGCAGTGGTTAAGTTCAATGATTAAATATGCTCTAACTGTTATTGTCAACTGTATACTTTCCAAAGCGATAGTGGGTCTGTGCATATCACCACCCTATCAGGTCCGACCTCTTCAAATCATTGTAGCCCAATAATTGCTGCGAGTATTTCTGCTGTATAAACTGATAGGTTATTTGACACTCGTTTTGCGATTGATATTTTGAATTCTGGGATATACATGCCTATCTCCACACATTCTTGCTTCTTAGATCCATCTGTGTACATTTTGAGGTAATTGTAATACTTTTTGTTCAGATACATACTCGTTTTAATTCCCACTTCATTTATTTGCCACTCTTTTTTCCTTTCTATGATACTCACATCCAGTGGCAGCCGGCCCATAGGGGCGCTAGGGGCGCCGCCCCCCCTCTTCCCACATTAAAAAAAAAAAAAAAAAAAAAATATATATATATATATATATATATATTTAAAAAATATATTTTTTATTTTTATTTTTATTTTTAATAAACAAGGTAAATATTATATAATTCGTATCAGTAAAATGTATAATCTACAATAAAATCTCGTTTAAAATTGTGTTACGATGTCTAAAGTTACTGATAAGTCACATGTTTCCTGCCTGGCCTTGCCCGTGTATCATTACTCCCTCTCGTCTGGGCGCTATGCACAGCGCCCAGACGAGAGGGCAGCAAGTGCAGCAGAAGCCAACTGTTGCTATCTTTAAACTATGCCGCCGAAACATAATTTCAGCCAATCAGCGTCGTCAAATCTGATGGTCACAGGGCTCCTCATGGATGTATAATAAGAACTGGATACAGCGTGGGAGGCGGGGCCTCATTCATTCCTATGAGAGTTGCTCATTCGCGCATGATGATAAAATGGCCCAACTTTTGAGAGAGTGAAACGTCACAGATTACCCGGCATGCCTGAGAAGTACCCGTATGTGCGCTCATAGCGCATGCACAACTTGCCACAACCATGCCCCCCAAAATGCTCGTTCACATCAAGCACGTCAATTTGCGTACACGTAACAGCACCGCACGTTCATGACAGCATGGTAATGGTTTGTTATTATGATAGATTTGATATTAACGACACGGCAGTTAGCAGCTAGCGGTTAGCTAATTTACACATCAATTTACACATCAATCGTTATGTACTTTTATATTACGCTGTAACAGGATCTAGTGATATCCAAGCAACAGAGCTTCATTTAGCATGAAAGAATTATTGCACTGTATATATATATATATGTATATATATGTATATATATATATATATATATATATATATATGTATATATATGTATATATATATATATAACTTCACTTTGACTGTGGTCTTTTCAGCTCTATTAAGCCCTGAGCCTGTTTTTCAGGTCTCAGGCTCGAAAATGACATTCCCAGAACAAATGACCATATCTTCCCTTCTAAAAGGGTTAAATTAATAATCTTTTTTCTCAAAGTAATGATAAACCTATGAGTTGGATGTAGAAAAGTCAGAATCAATATAGATGTTTTTTATTTTAAAGAAGATTCAGATTGAACATAGTAAAAAACTGTAAATTATAGTGTCCGTCCAAAAAAATGTTTTTACTTATAGTGAAAACATACCCTTGGATGATGGTAAGGTAGACTAAAAGCTTTAGGAATCCAAAGTACAACATATAATAAGTACCCTGTATTAAGATTGATGCAAAACAAGTGACATTTGATCTTTTTAGAGAGGTTTAGCAAAAGAAACTCCACCTCTGAGGTGATTTGGGTGGAAATGGGCGTTTTTACCGTTTCTCTGGAACCCATTGGTCGATTTTGGTGATTGACATCTCTTTTTGACTGTTAGAGCCAATAGAATCGAAGGGGAATTTCCCCACACACACACATGGTAAAAAAAAAAGGTGGGGCCTTTGCGCATGCAGGTTTGCATCAGAGCGAACCTATCTCTCGCTCTGACATCTGGAAACGGAAAAGCAGGTTTATTGCTTATGGATTATCAGAAATCATTTCAAAGGGACACAGACACATCGGATTAACCTATGGATTAACCTTCAGCAGAGTTTTTATCGTTTTAATGCCTTGAAGACCACTTTTGACCAGACAACAACACAGGTAAGCCATGTTAACGTTTTTAGCTACCTAGCGCTACATGTTTTGATGTCTGTTTTTGTTTATAAAGTCGCAAGTTCTTATCATGGAGTGATGATGTAGGTACCGATCGATTCTGTGTCTTCTCACGATGCTAGTCGATATGTTGGACGTGCAGTAAAGATAAATAATAAGGGTGTTATGAGTGAGTTTCTGTGCAAAACGCCGTTAGCATTTTTTCGCTCGTGGCTAATTCATAGGCCCAGCGCTAGCTTTGTGGTTTTAAAAAAAAAAAAGAAAAAAAAAAAAGATCAGTTTGCTGAGTTTCTTCCCGTTACATGGATATAAAACATTCATAGTTTATTGAATATTAAGATGCCCTCAGACGCTGTTTCCTGCAGATGACGCATTTTCCCCACGCATTTAATAAAACTATGAATGTTTTATATCCATGTAACGGGAAGAAACTCAGCTAACTGATCTTTTTAAAAAAAAATTCAAAAAAACCCCCACAATGCTAGCACTCAGCCTCTGAATTAACCACGTGCGAAAAAATGTAACCTAAAACGGCACTTAAACTCACTCTAACTCCCTTATTACTTATCCTAGATGCACAGCCAACCACTCGGTTTTTGTGTCCTGGAGACACTGAATCTAACGGTGCCCTCCTCAACACTCAGTGATAAACATTTGCGACGATATAAACGAAAGCGTACATCATAACATGTGGAGCTAAGTAGCTAGAAACACTAACATGGCTTACCTTGGTCAAAACTGGTCTTCAATGGCATTAAAACGATACAAAAACGATGCTGCAGTTAATCCATAGGTTAATCCAATGTATCTGTGCCCTCTTTGAAATTATTTCTGATAATCCATAAGAAATAAAACTGCTTTTTTGTTTCCAAATGCCAAAGCTAGAATGCAGCTCCACTCTAACCTAGATTTCCATGCGCGCAGCCCCCACTTTTCTCTTTACAATGAGTGTGTATGTGGGCCTCCCCCTTCGATTCTATTGGCTCTAACGGTCCGAAAGAGGTGTCAACCATCCAAATCGAGCAAGGGGGGCCAGAGATATGAAAAAAAAAACATTTTCACCCAAATCACCTCAGAGGTGGGGTGGTTTTGGCTAAACCTCTCTAAAAAGGTCAAATGTCACTTGTTTTGCATCAATCTTGATACAGGGTACTTATTATATGTTGTACTTTGGATTGCTAAAGCTTTTAGTCTACTAACCCATCATCCAAGGGTAGTTTTCACTATCTGTAAAAAATAATTTTTGGACGGACACTATAATTTACAGTTTTTTACTATGTAAAATCTGAATTTTCTTTAAAATAAAAAACATTTATATTGATTCTGACACTTCTACATCCAACTCACAGATGTAACCTTGCTTTGATAAAAGAAATTATTCATATAACCCTTTTAGAAGTTAGGTTGTAGTCATTTGTTTTGGGCATGTCATTTTCGAGCCTGAAACATGAAAAACAGGCTTGGTGCTTAACAGGTTAATGAATAAGAAAAACCCCTGCAATTGTATGTTTTCCAGACCTGAGGTGGTAAACATCTCTTGAAAGTGAATTTACAATGCAGTCAAAAATGAAAATCCATGCATTTTCCTCATGAATGATTTCAGTCAGTTTCCCACAAATTGAAACGGGATAATGTAATCCTCTGGGATTAAAATGTAATTCAGAATGGCTGCTCATGCTGCTAAAGCAATACATAATGAAATGATACAATCAACATTATCTGTAAGAATACATAATCGCACACACACAGCTCTAATTTCTCTCACAAAGATCTCTCACACCTGACATTCACAAGTACAGGCTCCACGGCAGCAGGGGGCACTACTGAGTCCATTGGGAAGGCGGGAGGTTGAGCAGAGCATGGAACAGCCCTTGCCAGTCTGATGACAGCGGTGTTTCTAGCGATCCAGCATCTGAATTTAGCGATCACAACGAAAACAGCCAAGACACATATTGAGCCCAGAAAATGAATGTTCTTAGGGCTGTAAATATAATAAGCCTTTGTCTAAAATAGACAACATTGTAACTAAGGAGATTTAAACTATACAGCGATTCTGCACTCGGTCAATCAGCTGCTCTTCATTTTCTTTCCTGCTATATTCAATGAGTGATACAAATATTTTTTACCATACGTTCTGAATAAAACTGATACTGTTGGACTCGGTACTAGTTGACTGCTACCAGAAATAAAAGGAAGTACTTTACTGTGTACTTTGTGAGTAATCCTCTGTCAGAGTCCCCTCCATAGTACATAATGCATGTTTTTTGCTATCTTTGATGAATGATAAAAGGGTCATTCCAGAATTGGAGGACAATTTAGACACCAACATTTTTGAAAAATGAACCTTTCATTTGATTATTTTTTGTTATGTATTTAGGAAAAACAGATAATAAACCATAAAAAAAAAGTGATTTGCCCAGCTAAGGCATCAAATGTATATTTTCCAATGAAGAATTAACCCTGTTACTCTAATTATAGTAACAGGGTTGCAAGTAACAGGGTTGCAAATCAATGCTAATTTTAGCTTTTACCTCAGGAATTAATGCTAGCTGCACAATGTAATGCTATTGTCAAGGAATGGACACACTTTATATTATATTTATATTTATATATATTTAACAAAAGAAAGATACATTCGAAATTAATTTGTTTTTGTCTCATAATTTGAGTAACAGGGTTGCGTTTGTATGAGTGCCACACTCCTTCAAGAGTGACAAGATTGGAAATATATTACAAATAAAAGAGAGGACTTAGTTTTGGTCTACCCATGGTAGTAGCACGTGGCTTGCTGATGTGCTTTCCACTGTGTCATGCGACAAACAGTTTTTTCACTTCCTCTGCCAAGCTAAAAAGGTTTCGGTAACAGGGTTGTGCGCATGTTGAGGGACACACCTTCTGTGCAAAATTACTGTTATTTAAAATGTGTTTATGATTTAACAAATTGATTTTACCATTACAAGACACATATATCAATAGAATAATACCAAAAAAGTAAATAAAAACCCTATTTTAAATGTTATAGTTGGTCACCAAGAAGCTGGGACAAGAGAAAAGGGCAATTTTAGGGGGTGTTCGAGAGCTATTTGATATTTTAAATAATATTTTGAAACCACTTTTTCTACAACTTTATATGCATCTTGTCTCAAGACAAGTATATTTAACACAACAAGTGCATGTCTTAGCTTTTTGGGCATGGATTATTAGATTTTTTATATGGGGGACATGAAATGTCCTCCAATTCTGGAATGACCCAAAAATAAA